TTACCCCCGTTTTGGTGGCCCAAGTCAGCCCGGCTGTTAAGCTCCCTCTTCTTTTGTGGCAGCCGCACACCCTTGAAACCCTTTGAACCCTCGATTTTGCGGGAATACTGATTCAGACCCTACTGGCAAGAGACGTGGGCCAAGGATGGTACCCGCCTAGCGCACTCATAGATACCAGTAGCTTGCTGCGATTGCTATGCTTCCATTTGCTGAAGAATGCTTTTTATTCTCCCCTGTTGGTTTCAAAGGGAATCTATCACTACTGGAAATATATACATATATATGTATATAGTCCAGGGGACTTAAGCAAATGGAAGTATGGCTCCTCTTGCAAAGGTCAAATATGTTCCTTTTAGAATGGGGTTGACTATGAGCGCATTTGACGGATGTCAGTGGCCCATAGAAGGTGGGGTCCTCATCTTCTGGACGATAGGCTTGCGGAGTGATAAGGAGAGATGGTGAAAAGCGTCTTTCAGGTGATGTGACCTTAAGCGTCTTTCAGAGATTTGTTTTTTTGTGCCGGATCAGAGACTACATATGTGATACAGAGAGAAGGTGAGATGAGACATCGAAATGTGGTAACGAAGCAATGGAATAGCGTGTAGCCGAAGGTGTGCACTTGTCTTAGCTTATAGGAGCTTCAGTTGGCCAACCAATTTGGCTCAAGTAAAGTTACATCCAGGCAAATCACATCCTCAAACGGGCTTTCCGGCCACATGAACGTTCCTTTCTCAGGGGATCCAAGCATCAGGTTGGTAATGATCTCTGATTCACCAAACACAATCTGGGTGTGTCCTTTCTGGGGGGACCCGCACACTGATGGTTTCATTAAAGACCGCAAAACCCTTGGTACCACCCAAAAACCTTCCAAGGAGCCCGCTCTCCCTGCGTCCCTTGAGGCAATTGCCAAGTCAACAAAAAACAAACAAACAAAAGCCCGCAAACATACAAACAAACACGCACAAACACACAAGCACACTCACACGCAAACAAACACACAGGCACACAAACACACCCAGACGCAAGCACAAGAGTAGGCAAGCGCACAAACACACAAATTTGCAACCACACAAACACAACCACACACAAGCACACAAACGCGCACCACAAACACACAAGCACATACACACACACACATACACAGACAGGCAACCACACGAAGCACACAAAGCACACAAATGCATAACTACACAAACACGCAAACACACAGACACACGAACAAAAAGACAACCACACGAAGATACGCATACGCAAGTACACCAACACACAAATACGCAACCACGCAACACACAAACACACGTTCACACAAGCACACATTCACACAAGCACACAAACACACAAACACACCGGCACACAAACGCGCAAACACAAGTACACATACATACAAGCACAAAGCACACACACACACGCACAAACACAAGCACATAATGCACATGTGTGTGTGTGTGGGTGTGTGTGTGTGTGTGTGTGTGTGTGTGTGTGTGTGTGTGTGTGTGTGTGTGTGTGTGTGTGTGTGTGTGTGTGTGTGTGTGTGTGTGTGTGTGTGTGTGTGTGTGTGTGTGTGTGTGTGTGTGTGTGTGTGTGTGTGTGTGTGTGTGTGTGTGTGTGTGTGTGTGTGTGTGTGTGTGTGTGTGTGTGTGTGTGTGTGTGTGTGTGTGTGTGTGTGTGTGTGTGTGTGTGTGTGTGTGTGTGTGTGTGTGTGTGTGTGTGTGTGTGTGTGTGTGTGTGTGTGTGTGTGTGTGTGTGTGAGTGTTGCCCTCATCACACAGCCCAGGAGGCATCGGATTGCCAGAGAGAATGCGCAACTCGGCTAAAAACCTAGTGTTCGGTCTGGTGGCATAAAACTACCGTGGATGGCAACATCGCACACCTCTAGCGTGGCTTTCCTCTGGTGTTTTTTAAATCCCTCAACAGATGGGATGTTGTGGATGGACGACATTCGCTTCGCATCAGATGGGATAGATGAAGGCTGGTTTGAATCTCGTGATACACCACCTACCAACTGTAAGCGGAAAACGGAAAAGCCTGCAGTCCTCTGAGTCCCGATGTGTTGAGCCACATTTGTTTGTCAGCCCCAGTGTGCGGAGTCGTTAGCGATGTGCAAAGATTTGGTCCCAGGTGTATTTACCCTCGGGGCAAAACTGAGCTGTGAAGAGTGAGGCGAGCCCTCATGTTTGTATAGTAGGTAACCAAGCGAACCACCCTTTGAAAACCAAAAGACCAAACATTGGGGATCCATGGGTGTAACACCAAACAGACGAAATGGAGCAAATCAGGGTGCAGCCTCAGTAATCTTCATCGGCTGCCTAAGCTTGGTGGCTCCCAGCCATCCGGTGCCTTAGCTTCTTAGATCTGTTTCGTTGGTTTAGTGCTTGGGGACCCACTAAAAGTTAGACTAGCTGTTATCCTCCCTCCAACTAACATGTCACCTGTGGGAGGGTCCCTGGAAGATGTATTTTTCTTGTTGGGACCCCTGTCAGGTGCCATGTTAGTGGGAGTAAGGGGTAGCATCAGAAACGGCCGGCCAAGTTCAGTTCGGCTCGGGTCCGAGGAGCTGACAGCCATGTGCTCCTTCTTCACCTTCTACACAGATAGCAGGGCCGGGATCGCGGATCGACCGCTTCTCGCGTTTCATGCAAGAGCTTGACACATACGTTCGGAGAAAAATTAACACGGGGGCAGGGGCACCCTGATGGATTTGTCGACCTCTCAAACCACTACGCAGGGATTCATGAAAAATGAGTCAGGAGCTTCTATAAATCCCAGGTGACAAAATCGACCTCATCGTCTCACCGGGCCTGGATAGTTGTTGCTCTCTGCGAGTCCCACACCACGCCTACGCCTCCGCCTCGCCTCCCACGCCTCGGGATGCGCGCCTCGCCAGGGCTGCTGGCTGCTGCCCAGCGGCGCCAAGTTGGAGCCGCGGCACGAGGTGGCCTCGGAGGCCTACGCCGTGAGCGGGCCGCGCCTCGGGGGCCCTTGGGGGGGGGGAGGCCGCGGAGCTCGGAGCTCGGAGCTGGGAGCTCGGGGCGGGGTGTGAGAGGTGCCGGGGGGAGGTGGCGCGGTAATTTTTTTTGGGGGGGAAGGGGGGTTGAAGCTTCAGCCAGTTGTATGGAGAGGGGGAGGGGTGGGGGGGGGTGAGTGAGAGGGGGTTGTGGTGGGAGCGGCGCATGTTGGTATGACAAAGTATTGATCTTCCAAACCAGCCACGGGGGTCGTTGTTCAGGTTGGTGCAAAGGCCAACCAACCGTAGACCATTTTACAATGTTCTCGGTTCTTGGTGGGGGGCAATGGCCCGTTTCTACCATCGTTGGTGATTTCCTTGTGATCCCTGCGCCATTCGCAGAGCCCTTCTCACTCTCTGAAAACCAGCGCACCCCGACCCTGAAATCGATGCTTTGGGGCTCCTCTATGAAGAAATGTGAAGATGGGGAGGGGCCGGGGCATTCCACAAGGCGATTCCCTGATGGCAGTTCAAACGTTCAAATGGGAAATGACCAGTGCTTCCAGTTTGGCAACCAGTGGAAACCATTATGTAAACATGGTAGGCACACCCTACAGTGGCAACTGGAAGTACTGGGCCAACCATTAGCAAGATTATTCCACCCATCAAGACCTGAGGAAGATTTGCCCACCCACGACTACCACGACTACCACGACTACCACAACCGAGACGACCACGATGGAGACAACAACTGCAGAACTAGATACCGACGAGAAGGCAACGGACATGTCGATTGTGACGCGGGCGGTTGCGCTGAACAAGTCACGTTTGTTGCGTGCGTTCAGATTGGAACTCGTAGGTATCGTGCCTGTGTGAGCCCAGGGTTGTGTGTTTGAGACAACCCATTGTGCACGGATCCTCTTAAGTCGTGGCTTCCTCTCGGTGTTTGTACATCGACCAATTCATGGTCATTGTTGGGACACATTTTACATTTTTGCTTATTGTGGTTTGGTGGTTGAAATCCAACCGCTTAACAGCTAACATTTATTTTTGTGGCTCCCCAAACCCAACGTCTGACCGGGGCCGCGGGTCTGGGTCCGTTTTGGCCACCAGGGCGTCATGACTGTGGCGCCGGGTATCGAGATTGGTCCCACGGGGCCGCGCCCGGCGCCTCAGAATTCCCATCTGTTGGGGGGCCATGAAGCTGGAGCCCAGGGAAATGGTCTTGGACCCGGTAAATGGTTGGCTGGTTGATTGGTTTGTTGGTTGGATGGTTGGTTGGCTGGCTGGTTGGTTGCTTGCCGGCTGGCTGGCTGGCTGGCTTGCTTGCTTGCTTGCTTGCTTGCTTGCTTGCTTGCTTGCTTGCTTGCTTGGTTGGTTGGTTGGTTGGTTGCCCGTCAGGTTCGACGTTTGTGAATGGGAGTGTACCAGCAAGGGTACCACTAAGGTTGGGGGATCAGTTAACCTGCCTGAAAGTCAACAAAAGGTGCGGACTCTTTTAGCCGTGGGAATCCACTGGAGCTCTACCAAAGGCTCACAAGGAAAGTGAAGGACAAGGGGCGGACCCTGCTGAGCCCTGGTGTAGTTGAGGGGAACATAGGTCTGGAGGAATCGTGAGCCCGCGGGACCTGGGATGACCCACTTAAAATGGAACGCCAGAAAAGCATCCAAGTCCTTTGCTACCAGGGTTGCAGAACTGCTCGGAGAAAGCGGCCCTTTTTGACCACATGTCGGCCGTCTTTCGTCTTCAGAGGCTCCCCAGCTGTTCCCATATTGGGTCGGAAGTATGGATGTCAAAATCCGGGGGCCCCAGAATCACGGGGGTTGTTTCGTTTCCCTTCAATCCAACCAGCAAAAGGATACCAGCTCAGCAGTACACACGCCTTAGTTTACAGGCAAAGGACACCCACAAAGTCTGGCAAGTGTCTTTTTGTTGGTTCTCCCTGGGACCCTTTGAAGAGAAGGCTCCATTAACGCATGGTTTTCCCTCTTCCCGCGTCCGGCACGGAACCGGGAACTGGGCGGGGGCCGGCTGAGAGTCTGAGAGGACCTGCGCCGGGGATCCTGGGGTCCATGAACGAGACGCTCATGCACATCGCCGGGAGCTTCTTCGATCCCAACTCCACGGAGACGGTGGAGGTGCCCTACACAGAGCCGAAGCCCCGGAGCTTTTCTTTGCGCAGAACCGAAAGCGCGCGATGGCGCGCGGCGAAAGCTTTCGCCCTTTCTCCCTTTTTTCTAGGGCGGGGAAAAGGGTCCCCGTTGAGATACTCAAGCAAAAGAAGGGATGCCCTTTCTTTCCCGTGGCCCACGGGCATGTGAGTTTGACTTGCCTTGAGTTGGACCTTCCTTGCTGGTGTGATAAGTAGGGAATGGCTTTCCGAGCCCGGGTGTTGCGGGAATGAACAGGTTTTGGGGAGCGCCCTTAAATGGAAACCAAATCGGGGATGGGTTCTAGGGGTTATTCCATTTCTCATTCCCTGCTGAGCACCAGCAAGTTTCGTCACTTTCTGGTTTTGGACCATAGTGGCAAACAAAGAGTTCGGACATTTTTTGTCCAGTCCAATCAAGTGAGTAGCAACCCATTGATATTATTTTGATTTACCCCAAGGGAAAAGGGGATGGATCATCTCGATATGTTCCGTGTTTTCCAGACATACATTTGGGCGAATGGAACGTGACATCGCGTTCCGCGTTGCAATGTCAAAATTCAGGTTCCTATCTTGCGGTACCTGATGGTACCTGCTTTTCGGTTGGTGAACTTTACTTTGCCTACAAACCAAAAATGGCGGGGTCGTTAGATGTATTTTCCAGACCCAGACCCAGAGTGTCACCTTCGGAATGACCAGGTCACTTTGGGGTGGGGTGAGGTGAGGTGAGGGAGTGAGGGGGTGAGGGGGTGAGGGAGTGACGGAGTGAGGGAGTGAGGGAGTGAGGGAGTGAGGGAGTGAGGGAGTGAGGGAGTGAGGGAGTGAGGGAGTGAGGGAGTGAGGGAGTGAGGGAGTGAGGGAGTGAGGGAGTGAGGGAGTGAGGCAGTGAGGGAGCGACGGAGCGACGGAGTGAGGGAGTGAGGGAGTGAGGGAGTGAGGGAGTGAGGGGGTGAGGGCGTGAGGGAGTGAGGGAGTGAGGGAGTGAGGGAGTGAGGGAGTGAGGGAGTGAGGGAGTGAGGGGGTGAGGGAGTGAGGGAGTGACGGAGTGAGGGCGTGGGTGGGTGTGTGTGTGTGTGTGTTGAGGGTTCCTTTAAAGGTTGGTTTCGCAGGGTCATGAAAACGCAAACCGCCATTTTTCGGGGCAACCTTACTTTGAGACAAACCCAAAAGTGTTTGTCTCAAAATAGGAGAACCCCCCCAAACAACATAAATAGCAAGCAAACAAAAAAGAAAAACGCAATGTTGTCAACTTTGACATGTGGGGCCTGAGGATGTCCTTCCCCGCGAAGATCTACGGCATCGACTGGTACTGGTGGCTCACCGGCGTCGCGGTCATCGCTGTGGTAGGCGCGGATCCATGGCGCAAGCCGATTCCTCTTGTCCAGCACCAGTTGGCCAGGTAGGTAGTTTATCAACCAGCTTCACTTGGAGCTTCATCCATCCCACCTCCAGGATTTTGTCAAAAAGCATCTGGTGGAAAAGGTTCACTTCCATTTGCTGAAATGAATATGTTTTATGTCCCCTGTTGGTTTGAAACGGAATCTATTGCTGTTGGAAATATGTCTATTTCTGCCAGGGGGCTTGAGCAAATGGAGGCTTCACATAGAGTTTCATCCATCCCACCTGCAGAATTTGGTCCAAACCAAATTCCTGGTGGAAAATAGGGCTTCAGGTTGCCACTTTGAGTGGGCCAAGGGATTTTTTCGTCAAAGTGACAAGGCCTTTGGGAGAACGAACCGTCACTGTTGTATCACAGACAGTCTGCAATGGCCAAAACAACAAAAAACAAGTCACTGGACCGTAACATGGCCAAGAGGGACGATTCCTTTTGGCCATAGCGAGTGGTTCTGCACCGGGATTCGTACGGGTTATACAGTGGATGGGCGAAATTAATTTCGCACCACTTTGAAACCATGGGACTTCATTCTTTGTTGGTTTCATTTACAGGGGAATCGAATCATTCCAAGGTTTCTTGGGTGGTGCGAAATGGATTTCATCCATCCACAGTAGCAATGCCAGGATAGACCATTGTGACCATGTCAGATTGTCGCTGCTCACGTTGTGAAACGTACTTGAGGTTCTGAAGTTGCTGGTAGTCTAGAGTTCATGTGGCCATGAATGTTAATAGGAAACCACCAAAGGGTCCTTAAATAAAATCCAGAGTTCATGTGGGAGGGACATGGGCGAAGTCACCTTTGTGTCCCGCTTTTAAGCCAGAAACTACCCCAAGGGAAGGTGCGAGCTTAAGAAGCCGTTCTGGGCCACGGGTTTTTGGAGCTATGTTCAACGGGCAGGTTTCGAGTTCCAGAGGCATGGAAGGGATATGTGTGGTTGTGTGTGTGTGTTTTTGCAGTCCCCCCCAAGAATGATCGGTCTCTGCTTGGATTCGCTGTCAAACTAGCCGAAAAGGGTACCCGCAAATAAACTGACACACCCGTATATAAGACCATATTAGAGCATGTCAGCCATGATTATGAGGGGTTGCTCTTTTCCCACTGACACCGCATTTGTGAGAGAAGATCAATTTCCTCTCAAGAGGACCTCCTGTCAGGTGTCACGTTAGTGGAAGGTTGGGCATGTAAGACTTCGAACATATTTGCCATTTCTATCAGGTGTATTTGTTCGTAAAGGCCAACATGGGTACCCTCAAAAACATCTGACACTCCCATAGATAAGACGACCTTGGAACATAGCCATTGCTGCAAGGTTCACAATCTCAGAAGGCGCGTCACGTCCAGGCCTCTGTGTGATGTGCAGCCTTTGCTGCCCCAGCAAGCCCCGCAGGAAGCGCGCCATCCAGGCAGGAGTTTTAGTTTGGGGGGTCAAATATGAGGGGTTCTTAAATCAGGCGATCCTGCTTGGTTTCCTGATCATGGCAAAGTTATACGGCCAGTGCGTAGCACCTGGTTGCAAAACGTGAGCCAGTCTCCAAATACGGAGTCTCCAAGTATGGAGTTATCCTTTGCATTGTCCTCAGACTCGAATTCAGCGCCCGCCCTTGATCCAAAACGGACTCCGGTTTCCACTGGGTCCTCTAGGTGTCCGATATCTTAAGCGACCCGCGAGTCCAGACCCCGAACCTTGGGTCACCGCTTTCGCGCCAGCCTCGTTTGTGAGAGAGTCACTCCTGAGTGGTTTCCCTTGCGTTCCCCTCGAAACAAATGCATGGCTCAAGAACAGGCCGCGCCGCAATGTTTGACAACTTGAAGCCAGAACCAGCGTCACTTGGACCACTTGTGCTTGATCTTGCTCTAGTTGTGTGTTTTTTTGGGGGGAGAAGTGTATGGGGGAGCCATGTGAGCGCTTTGGCCTGCAGGCCGAGGTGATGAGGGCATCGGCATCTGCTCCTCCGCAAGAGGAGCAGCCGTTGATGAAGGCGGGCGCACGAAGCTTGAGAAATCCTGAACCGCAGGTTGCCGGATGGAAATCCAAAGGAGATGGATTCCGTTTTTGTTTGTTAATGTTCTTTCAGTGGCAGGTCAATCCTTATGTTGTTTCTTTTCGGGGCTCCCTCTGAAAATTCAGTCTTAAAGTGTGTTTCCGCAGAGCCGCCAGGCAAGTCCTTTGTGAAATTGCCCACGGCGGTGGTGATATCGGAAATGCCGAGCCCATTCCCCCCTGTTTCAACTGTGATGGAAGTGGAGAAACAACTTCTTGGAAAGCTTTCGCCTTCCGAATCCTGTCGGGTTCCATGGGAAGAAGCCTGGCTGGGAACCACCAACGGAAAGACCAGGAACAGCAGCTCAGTCTCCTGTAGATATACCCAGCGGATGCTCTTTTGCTTGTTCCCCTTAGCCACCTATTTCATAAAACCCAGTTCTGAGAACAAATTGTCCCTTGTAGGAGTGGTCCCCCAACTATCTTACCCTTACCCGTACAGCCCATTGTTAGCGAAAGATGTGTGTCACACAAAACGTGGCCGAGCTGTGACAAAATGCTCGAGCATTAAAATCCTGCTCGAAACGCAAATTCCGATTCGTCATCTGAAGCCCGGCCTTTGAAGTTCAACAGGAAACGCATTGAAGCAAAAGTTATGTGGTGCAGAACAGCAAACCAGGCGCATCTACAAGCGGCAAGTTGCTACATTTGTCCAGGTTGCGCCCGGGTTAAGAAAGGTTGCAAGTTGCGCGCAGCTCATGCTTTAATATTGCACTACGACAAGACAATAGTATGATAGCCCAAGGACCTAGCAGTTTGTGTCATAGTGCAGTCCGTTTCATCATCGAGTTCCAGCGAGCGCATACCAAAAAGCGCCTAAATATAAACAAGCCCTCGTTCTGCCAAGAAGTGCCCGCGATGCCCGAAAACATGTCAAATGGCCCTTGGGCACATTTTTCTGTATCAACGGGCTCTCCAGGTATATAGACTTTCCGACTTTTTGGAGTTTATAAGGATTTATGACACATCCCACTGAAAGTTTCCCAGAACTGCAACCCCACAGATTGCTTTCAGCCACCGGAACTGACAAGCCTGACATGTCGATTCTAGCTTTCGTCCCGGCGTGAGTCGAAAAAGTGAGACCCCAACCATCAAGCAAGGTTTGGGCTGGAAATTTGGGCAGAACCCCTGAGTATTTATGTGCACGTGGTTGTTTGTGCGTTTGCGTTTGTAAGGTGGGCTCACCTGAAAGGTGGGGGCAAAGCGAGCTCATGATGTAGGTTACTTAGGGGAGCCCATACTTCCTGGCTTGGTTGGGTGCTAGACCTCGCAAATACGAAGGCCTTCCCCCCAGTTGACAAAATGTGTGTTGTGTCTATATGGTTTTGGGTGTGTGTGGACTCCTTGTATGTGAGGAGCCATTTGCAAAGACTCACATTTGATTAGGGTTTTGTTGGGGTTCGATTTGGCTCCATGTAAATTTACAGGGAAGATGCGTCTTGGCTGCTATTCAGTTGGATCTTTGACCTTTAACTCTTGAGATCATGTGCGTTTCCCACGAAGCCACAAATGATTGCTTTCCTCCAGGGGGCACAGCCAGCAAGGGGGAAGATCAGTGTCACTGATTTCAAAGTCGCGTAGTCTCGCAGGATGCTGGGCTGTTCCGGCCCCGGCACCTTGGCCTAGCGCGTTTGGCTCAGCTTATGCATCCCTTCAACTGGGATCTTCTCAACCTATTCTATTTCTTTTGGGGTAGATGAACTTGATGGTTCCCAGCCATCCCCTTAGGTTTTTGGGAGAGTGGTAGCCACTAAATCACCAAGAGTTAGACTTCCAGCAGGGGATCTGATGACAGCCCAGTTAAACAGAACAAACCATAAAGTCATATGTTGGTGCACCAGCTCCCCTCTGATTTGGTATTTTGGATTGTTGTTTTGAAGATGTTCAAGAGTTCCCCTTTACCCTCTACAAGGAACAAGGGGGTTCAAATCCAAATCCAAATGGGCAAGCTGAGTTTCACGTCGTTTTGGAGAAACCAGCAATTCGGTTTGTCGCTCAGCCATGTTTTTGTTTGTAGCCAAAGCGGGCAGACTGGTGTTGGTTGTTTGTGTGTTTTTTCCGGTTGACGCTGTTTGTGGCTCTGGGAAGCCTTGTTAAATTGATAAAGTGGGGATGGGAATCAACTTGCGCAGCGCTTAAAGCCCCGTTTGGGCAACTTCTACAACCAACGAATGAAGAAACATGAGGCTTGGAGCTGCTCAGATCTTCACAAAATAAACAACTTTGCGATATGGCAAAGGGATATCAGCCACCAAGCGGGAACAAGCAATATAAGGGGCTACACATGATTATCCTATGATCATCACTTCATTTGGGTTTCAAGTACCCCACATCCCATTCTAATTGTTTGGTCCTTACTCAGTGACCCCGGCAAGGTTGGTTCCATTTTAGTGCATCAAAACGGAATGCTCTGAACAACTGCGCTTATAGGAACTCACTCGACCAACGAAGTGCCTGCAAAGCGTGCTTCTCAGATTTCATGAGCAAGCTGAACCATCCGACTGGTCTTCTCAGGATTGATTTCCCGAAACTGGTGATTCCCATCTCAACTGACTGTCACTTTCAGCTAGCTCCATTTTGGCAAGACATCCTCTACATTGGAGTCCAAATGAAGAGAAAGAATCTGGGAGTGATTCCCTGCCCATTTTGTCCAGTTGGACTGTGGTCACAAAGACCCTTTGGACTTGTTCTGACCCGAGAAGTGAAGGGGGATTCAACCCCCAGTGTTGTCCAAAGCTGTTCAACACTGACAACCCGCAAGAATAGGATGCAGTTGAGTTTGATTTTTGCTTGTTGTTTCTCGCGAGTCTGGTTTAATCAAAAAGGCAACGAACTGGGGGAATACAAACAAAAACACTAAAATAACCCAAGATACACAACCGTTTGGCAAAACCAAAACACGTTTCTTCAGAGTTGTTGTTTTGTTCCTTTGGGCTTATGGATTTGTTTGCTGTTCTGTGCGCTGTTTCCATCAAAACTGCACAATTTGCTTAAACACCACAGTGTTCTTTGATACCGTTATACGAAATGTGCTAAAACACTGGAGGTTGTTGCACATGTGTTCACAGTAGCGCACTGCAAATCCAGAACGGAGTCCTTTTTTCTCCAATTGTCGTTCTTATGACAAAGCAAGCGCAGGAAGCACACAGTGTCTCATACACTTTTTGTGAGGCAAAGCAAGAGAGGTGGTTCAAAGAGGGGGTGACTGTATATATATATATACATATATATATATATATGCACATCTATATTATCATATATTTCTATTGGGTCTACAGGTTTACTTGCTTTTCCTCTTCAGCTGGGTGCCGGGCCACGGGTTTGGTCCGATTCCTCAAGGCTGGAGGTGCCGCAGCTGCCCATGCCACAGCTGGTGGCGCCGCAGCTGGTCTCGGTGCCGGCCTCCCAGGCGAGCTGACGGCTGACGGGGGAAGCGGCCGGTGGAACACGGGGCGAGCACGTGGATTTTTTTTTAGGTTCCCCTGTTGTTGTTTTTAAAGGGAATCTATCACTACTGGAAATACTTTTATTTTTTCCAGGGGTCTTAGCCAAATCGAACTCAAACTACCCAAAAGGGACAAAAGCCCGGAATTTGAGGGCAAAAGAATCCATTTTGGGTAGCTTTGGGGCAATCACAGATTTTCATGGGTAGTTTGCTGGTCCCTGGGTGTACATTCAAACACCGTCTAATTTCGAGGATCCCTGCATGGTGGTTTTTGGGATGTTTATTGACACATTGGGGGCTGTGGGGGAGGGAAGGTATCCAAAATAAGCCCTAAAGGGGCTTAATAAGGGCTTATTTGGGCTGGCTCCCTCCCCCTCCCCTCCCCCCCAGCCCCCATGATGGAAAGGGGACGGACGAGGCGGTAAAAGCCGGTGAAAACGAGGGACAACGCGGAACACCCAGGCGTCGGCCTTGGGAAAAGATTGGGATAGTCTGGGAAATGCCTAGGGTTTGGGGAACATGTGGGGGAGATGGGAAAAGATGCTGAAACGGTTAAGTTTTGAAAAGTCTAGGAAAAGCTTGCTGGGCAACTACAGGAAAGGCAGGGAAAATCCGAAAACCCAAAGAAACACAGAGGAAGCCAAAGCTCTTCAGGTGTTTGCACCGCATCACAGCTTGCTTTCAGGCGACAGAAGGTCTGTGGGTCTCAATGCTCAAAGCTGATTCACCCAGGCGCAAATGTGGAATTGGATCCAAATGGGATGGTCTCCCATTGGGGGAAGCTTCCCAGGGGGGGGGCTTAGTTGGAGGGTCCAGGTCATTAAGCAGAACTTTGGGTTTGTCTCCCCGAAGATCGGACAAATGAGCCATGGTCTTCACTCGCAGGCCAACGCCCGTTCCTTCGAGCTGCACGCATACAGCCCACAAGGCTTCGGATCGGGACATCGGGTGGAATTTCCCAGATGGGAAGACTTACTCCTGGTCCTTTGGGGGCCAGGAATATTGATCAACCCCCAACTCCGTTGTGAGTGTTGACCCCGCATTCGTAAACCCGCCCGATTGACAAGGGGGTGTCCCCTCTAAAAGTGATGAGACAGAGGTTTATTAATCCGGGGTTCCCCTCGGTGCTTGGGGGTATCACCCGATTTACTGACTACCACCAAAATGATCTTCGCGGAAGTCTGAAACTCCAAACACTCAGGGAGTGAGGCTCTGAAAAGAAAGGGAGTCTTCCATCCTTTTGCGTCGATCTATAGCTCAAAGCCAACCATTTCACCTACAAATGGGTTCTGGCATAAAACCCATCCAAGAATCTGAGTGCTGAAGGGGGGGTCGGGATAAATCAAACAACTACCCATCCCCATTTGGTTTCCGTTTGGGTAAATGAACATATGGGCGATGTACCAGCCCCGGAACCCTCCTTTGGACCACCCCAGAGCCTATGTGGGCACAGAGCCCAAAGCATCCAGGGGAAAACGTTTGGACGTCTTTTTGGGCCAATCTACTCGATCGGAAGCTCGCTTTGTGAGTTCCGGGACTTTCGGGCTTTCGACTCTTTGGGTTTGGACCAACTTCGAAGACAAGACACATGGACTTCTTTGGCCAGTCCACTCAGAATGTGAGCGGTTTCACAATCCTTTCTTCCCCCCGTGATTCACGGGACCCACGCATCGAGAATCGGGTGACCGCCTGGTTTGTTTCGGGTGGACGACTCGACGATCTGGTTTAGCTCGCAGCAGCTTCTCATGTCATTTAAAAGGGCCGTTCAACAATTAGAATGGGGCCAGGATGGGGGTACACTGTTTAGACGTCTGGGAAATGCCCTACGCAGGTCTTTCCAGTTTGTTTTCCCCGGCCGGCACCAGGAATGGTCTCTTGTGATTCCCATTTGTTTGTGGGTTTTTGCACAGGGATGTAAACAAACAAACCGAGTTCAAGCATGCAGCAGAGAGGCTGTGACTGGACATGTCCCTGATTTGTTGGCCCGTTTGTGGGGTTGTGTTGTTGCCTGAACCCTGAAAGGGCTCGTGTCAAAATAGGAATCAGAACAGGGTAGTGGGTAGTTTCGCATATGTGTAACATCTTCTGAAACGCAGCACACGCAATCAGGGGAACTTGTTCTGAAATCAAACGGACCCAACCTGACGTCCCGTTTCTACTTTAACATGCCTACTTATGTGGGTCCCTTCCATTTCTCCTTCAAGAGTTGAGTTACATAAGAGATCCGGGAAACGGGGCCGTCACGTTTGCTTGGATTATGTTGGATTAGTCCAGCTTCCCATGATAGATAGAATGTTGTAAGGCCAGACTGGAAGTGGCACTTGAGAACAAATGCCGTGTTTCAGAGGACCTTTCGCAACAGGAACTGGGATCAAAAAACAGATTGGAGGGTTCACTTGGGGAACATAATCTGAAAGTTGTTTGCCCTGGTTCATAGCGACCCGGCGCCTGAAATTCTGGTGCTCGAAAACCCCACAAGGGCCGAAAGTGTGAAGGGGAAGTCATGCAAGCTTGGCAAGCCACATGCAAATTCAGGGATCATTGCATGATGGATGTTATATCTACGACATGTATATGTGTTGTGAGCGCATACATGTACATATGTACATGTATAGGTGGTGGCTGCTAAGCTTCTTTAGAAGTGAATTCGGCCAGATCCGCTCAGGCTCGCCGTGCCACGGATCCCGGCCCGGCTGGCCGTAGGGATCCATGTGGATCGTAAGGCCTGGTGCAGCTCCGATGTTTTAGCAGTCCGGGGCTTAGGCCCGGAGCTTTCTGGAAGCCTTCGACTTGCAATTGCTTCCTTGAAAGCGCTCCAAGCCACCCAAAAAAACAACATGGGCAGAGACCGCATAGCTTTCAGTTGAGGAAGGGCATCGGGTTTCGGGGCCCCGAAGCTCACTTCCCACGCAGCAGCCTGTCAGGCACGCGCATCTCGGCAATGAGCGGTTCTCACTGCCCGGCGGCATTCCTCCGTGGGTTCCCTTTTGGCCCCTCGGAATCCCATTTTTGGCTTCGGCCCCTACCAATCCACCCACCTGGACCCTCAAACTACCTTAGAGAGAGGGATTTCACCCCAGCTGTTTGGGGGGCGAAAGCCAATTTGTAAGGGAATGCTGAAGGGTTCCGGTCATTTACGGCGAGGTTACATGGGGGAAGCTCACTTAGGAACCCCTCAAGTTTTGCAGGATGGCTAGATAACGACGCCCACTATTCTCCAATGATCGTTGCTTAATTTGTTTGCAAAGTCCCCACATCCCCAGGTGGTCCCAAAATCGAATCAGAGACCAAACATGTCGTGGTGCCCCGATTGTGTTCTGGGTTTCTTTTTGGTCTTACTTGTGTTTTAATTAAACCGCCCGCTCCGGACTGTTCCGAAACCGCCTCCGTATATTCAAAGAACGCTGACTGAATTGGGTCCAGTGCCACGGAACTTCTTGATACAAGCTTTATTTGAACAGGGAGTGGGCTTTTGTGGCCAGCAGTTCGGGTGCAGGTGAGAAGATATGTATCACTCTCTGACACTGCCCAGGTGCAAACATGCAAATACAAAAAAAAAAGAAAGAAAAAAGCCGTTGGGAGTGTCTTCGGCTGCCATGCCGAATGAAAGAACCATGGAAGAGCACGATGCCCAGCCAAGTAGCTGAGGTCTCAAAGTCCTTGGCTGGTCTTTGTGACCGAATCGCCCCTTCAACCCTCATCAGGATTCACATGGGTCCATGAAACCTAGGCCAGGTCTAGCGACCTTTTGCTCGGATTGGAAAAAAGAGGCTTCGGCCCCTCTATTCAGAGTCCCGAAGAAGGGGGGCTCAACGGGATTTTGAGGCCGGAAGTTCAGGGGACTTCAAAGAAAGACCCCAAAACTTCACAGCCAAAGGGCTGCCGAAGAATTGGCCGAGCGCCGAATTCACGAATTGCCCAATGCACCCCCGGTTGGCTGGATTTCCAAAATGGATATGGAGCCCTCAAATGGATATGGCCACTGGCAGGACTGGGGCACCTTTTGGTTCGATGAAAACCACGCCACAAACTCCATAACCAAAATGATGGGAAGGGTTCTACCTGGATCGCCTAAGTTGCGATCGCTGTTTTCCCAGGCACTTCACTCTCAAAAACAGCTCACTGTACTGGGAAAAAAAAACACGATCCCAGGCGATGGTACTCTGTAAGCTTCCATTTGCTTAATAATATAGATATATATATATATATATATTCATATTTTCCATTTTTTGTTTTTAATGGAATCTATCACTACAGGACATATTTCTCGTTTTTTCCAGGCGAAGAAGCAAATGGAAACAAGCCTGTAAGCCCATGAAAGCTCAAGTCGGTCGGGTTTTTGGGCGACGGCCGCTCTCAAGGAGCCACACCGCTTGGAGAGAAAGGCTTTCTCGCGCTCGCGCCGCTCGTTCAGATCGCTAGGTGTTGATAAGTGGGCGTGATATTTATTTTTGAGGGTACCCAAACTACACCCCCCCCCCCGTTTTTGGTGGGTTTAAGTGAAACTCAAAGGAACACCACCATGTTGGAGGTGCACCCAAAAAAGACACTCCCAAGGATCACTGTGTTGAGGGAGGCTTCCTGAAAACCAGGACCACGAATCGGGACAACCACTCAGTGTGAGGGTACCCTTGTTTGGTGGTTTGACAGGGGAACAAAAGAAGAACACAAAGAACAACATTGAGTGTCCCCTGTTTTGAAACAAACCTAGAGGCTGGATCAACCCGTGGTACAATCTTGTATGGTTGCCCTGAAATTGATGGAGAAGATTTAATCTTTAGGTTAGGGTCGAACGTTGGCCAAGATATGTGTCTTTTTGAGGGTAGGCGTCTTTTGAGGTTCTACAAAGAAGCCGGGAAGACCATCAGTCCGACGAACCCCCCGATTTCGAGACACCTAGGGCACCGCCGCTCCTCTCGACTCAGCGAGGCGCGTCTTGAGACGTGGCATTCCCGAGTCAGTCACTTAGGAGTGGACCATTTCACTGGAAAGCTGGGACCTGACCACTTCACTGGCGAGCTGAAACCAGGGTACCATGGCTTTGTTCTCTGAAACTCCGCGGTTTTGGGAGTTGGTTCGATCCCGTGATCGTTTTGCACATCACTGGGCATAGTTGGATCCCTGGCAAAAGATGGCCTGGCATTGGCCCCTGCGAACTTTCTGCGAGCTGTATCTCTCCTTGGGCACCTGACAAAAACAGGGGAAAAAAAAAACAGGCCGGCCTTATTTTGGACTAGGTGTTGATGTTTCCCCCAACTTGTTAATCCTGGTGGCCAGTTGTGGTTCTTCATCTTAGTGTTTGCGCTCATTGTGTCTCAGAGTTATTTGCGCCGGGAGGTCTGGAATGAAGGGCGCACCTTCGAAGACGTGCTGAAAGAGGCCGGGAGCTTTGAGCAGCGTCGTCGAAGCAGTTTGGGCTTCCTATACTCCCCGTCCAGGGTGGTTTAATAGATCATCCTTCAGTGCCTTTTGAAGTCGATTTCCTTCGGTTGAGGTTTGAAGGGGAAGTATAAGAAATCCCGCATGTGCTTCCATGACTCGATGACCTTGGTAGCGGCCTGGGTTTAAAGTGGTTGCCTGAGGCGGTGAGTTTGGCCACTGGCCATGGGTCAAAATCCTGTACCCCCAGTGAACATCCCAATCCCCACGAAAATAGACTAAGATGGGTGGTGCACCTACCCCAAAATGGGATCCCATTGGTGTTGACCCACGGCCATGTCTCTCTGAGGTCACCGCCGTGGGGGACGGCAGGCGCGGGAATTTCCGCGGTGCAAAATTTTGTCTGCTGTATGGTTGCCCCAGACCCAGGTTGCTTCCTTTTGTCCCGTTTGGAGGGCTTCCCTTTTTAGTCAACTGCCCACAGGCCCGGTGTGCCCAAAGCTGGGTCCTGGACCCGAATCGCCTGGGGTGCGCAATTGGTTGTTTCGAGCCAGGGCAGATGCTGCCGGGGGCCTTACTGTCGAGCAAACCATCTGACCTCCGAGTATCGACCAACTGACGAGTCAGATTGTCTGGTTTCGCTGGGAGGGACCAAGCAAGTCATGACAACATCACTGACTAGAGCCGCAAACTACCTAGACAATTGGTTGTTGGCTCAGTTAGAATGTTGAGCGTCCAGGCATCGATTCAGGATTCTGTTCGAGCCTGCATCTAAGCTCAGAGTTCTGTTGGAAAGAAATGGGGTGTGCTGTCTTGTTTCGGGGACCTGAGGGGGTTTCCTCCAAGAAAGACACACCCAAACGGCTTTTCCATGAGATCTGCAGGTCGAATGACCCCCAAAAGGGGCGGAGGAAGCAACCCAGAAAGGCGAGGCACCGGTTCGTGCCTTGGTTTTCCTGTGGATGGACAGAAGTATTCAATGACGGTTTATCCATCCCTGGTGCGAGTTGGTTTTGGTCCACTGTATGGACGGTCTAGGGGTATGTGTCATGGTATACCCTCCAAACATGCAGCAACTACCATGTGTTTTCCTCCTTGAGACCTGGCTTCGAGTTGCTGACCCTTCGAGTTGCTGACGCCCGATCTCAGGACTCAAACGCGATTGCACCCTCGTGGAAAGCGAGGCGGACTGAAAGTGTGTCAAGCCGTCTGCCGTCACAGGCCTTCACCTTCCCCGACAGCCAGCGTTTGCCCTTGACTCCCAGTGATTCCATTTCAACTATACAGGCAACCAAGAGGGCTTGCAACCCTTTAAAACAAGGACAATTTTGGGTTACCTACTATTCTAGCGGCTGATTCCCCATTCTTTTCAACCATCGTTCTTTCCAAAAACCGGCGTTTTCCCTGGGTTTCCAGAGGTTTTCTAGAAAGAAGGATCCCTGGAAAGAATGGGGAAGGTCGCCTTAGAGCTGTATTGGTATCTGGGATCCGCTGGAGAAGGGGACGCAGAGTGTTTGTCAGGCTTGTGTGGTTTGGAGTGGCAGTTTGGGGATTTGAACCCCTGGTTCTTTTGCAGGGAAGTTGGTAGAAGAGGCAACTGAAACAATACGGCCTTGACGCTTGTGACTTAGTTTAGTTTCCTGGCATTCCAAGCACCAGTTCAGATTACGTAGCCTACATGATACTTTTTGGGATTGGTTCAAAGGGAATCTAAACGGAAAACCCACCCTTTTGAGGGCTCCCCTATGTTGCCACAAGGCTGATGCAACGCCCTGGTGGAGCCCGGCATTTTCTTTTGTTTGGAGGGGGGAACCCAAGTTCAAAGGGTCTGGGTATGTGATTTCCAGATCGGTTTGCATGGACCCTCAAACCCTTAAAACAGTCTGAAGATCGCCAGACTTTGAAGCATGCAATTTACTTGGGTAGTTTAAGGGTAGCTTGAGGGTGCTGGTAAATAACAGATGGATTCTACTTTCAGTTTGGACCCTTTGCTCAGTGGAGTTTACTTGTCAAAAAGTAGTTGTGGAGTCAATTTGGACGTGTTTTTTCGAGGGTACTCTTTCTTTTGGAGGGGGGTTGGCGGTATATCAAAGGGAACACCACCATTTTTTGGTTCCCCTCTGTTAAGACACACCCATTTGGGTATATGCCAACATAGAGAACTCCCAAAATGTAATTTTGGTGTCCCTTTAAGACGACCCCAAGAGACAGGATTCCAAACGAAAAGGCTTTCACAGATTGCCCACGTCAGGTTGAGAGGATGCTTAAGCTCTCGCCTCAGCACGTGGACTCAACCAAAACCGGGTTCTACAAGGTTCGCCTTTGAACTTCTAAAATACACTACCCCCAAACCACCCTCCAGGGGTTTTATGGGGTTTACAACCACTGTATAGACACTCTATATCAATGGTATATACTCAGCTTGTCCTTTGGGGGAGTGGTTTGGGTGTAGTGGAAGCACTTTTGGAGTCACGGCAAAGGAAGCTCTGTTGGAATTGGCACAAATCCACAAGGAGATGTTTGAAGCCTGCCAGACGCTAGTCGGCATTGCCCTCAAGCAAAGAAACAGGTTGTTTGCAGGAAGAAGTAAGAAAGTATGAGGCAGATTCGCAAGAAAGCGGGTCAGACAAAGATTTAGTTGAAG